CGATGAAGCAACCCTCATGGCCCCTCAGCTTTGCTCCACTGGCTAAAATGTTAATTAATCTGTTGCGTTATCTATGATTGAAATCTGACCCCATTTGAATGTGGAATCTGGAATTTCTCCAAGATTAAATGTTTTTGTTTACTTTTTGCTTCTTCTTTCGTTGGTGAACCAACCTCCCCCTCCCCTCCTCTTCCCCCCTTGCTCATATTATGTTTCTGAAAACTTTTTTCTTTCCTTCCCTCTTTTGAAATCCACCATGCCTTATCATGATTGACCGACCCGTGAGATGAGGATGACGATATCCCATGTCTCAGCAGAGCAGCTTTAGCCCTTGCATACGCATACGCATACCAACACCACCACCACCACCACCACCACCGCAGTCTTGTTCCAGTCAAGTCAAAAAGAAAACTTAAAAGGACTGAGATTCTGATCCTATAAGATTAAAACAACAAAGCTGAGTCTCGGATCATTGGGCACAATTTCCCCCAATCTCAAGCCACGACTCATCCCGTCCGTGGGGCCCAAGATCTGGGTTCTGGGTCGTGTAAACCTCCCATTCGTGGCTCCCCTCCCTCCCCTTGCGCGGCGCGCAGTGACCAATGCGTGAACCAGGAACAGCGAAGCAACAATCACATGCGATTGGCGTCGTCGTCACGCTCCCGGTTGGTTGACTCGCCCCCCATCATGTGTCTTTGATGGTTTGTTGCTTGTTGAGCTAGTCTCGTTCGTCCGGGCTGTTCGTCCCGCTGGATCCCAATCGAAAAGTCTTTTTTCTTTCCCTGGCATGGAGGCTTGTGTGTCTTGCGTCTTGCGTCTTTGATCTTTGATCGTTTGTTTTACCTTACTCAGTAGCTGCTTGTACTGTACTGCATGGCATTGGAGTAATTTCTCCGAATTCTTTTCTTCCTTCTTCTTCCCTTGTTTATTCAAATATTTATGTAGAGTCAAGTCATTCTTTTCTTGACCCCAGTCACTTGGTCCCCACGTTCTTTTCCATTCTTCCCCATATCATATCCAATCTTTGTACTTTTATTTTTTGGGTGTGTTCATCTGCATACATTTTGTACATAGTTACCACCCACCCAGGTGATAGCTTTCTTATCTGTGATACGGCAGCCCTTTTGGTGGACGAGGTGCATACAATCGGCAACAGATGAATAGCAAACTTGTTCCTTCCGACACGGCGGCAACCGCTGCTGCTGCGGCTGCCGTCGTTGTCGCTACCTCTGATAGTCATGGTGCTGCCCAACATCAACCTCCAGGACCGACACTGCTTCCAGCACCAGTTGCGCAAGCAGTCAGCCTTGCGACTCGCTCCACATCCCTCGCCATCCGAATTGGATCCCTGGTTAGCTCCTTTGGCCTCGATGCTGCCAGAGTCACCACTCTCTCTAGCCTCGAGCTGGCTCGCGGCATGATCGAGGGTGTCATGAGCCGAGCCGCCAAGGACACAATCACCCAAGCACGAACCGAACTCGCTGCGGCAGATGCCGAAACCGTTCTGGAGCGCAGCCTCGAAAACCTCCATTATGCGGTAACCCAAGTCGCATTCTGGACTTCCGTCAGCTTTCATTTCACCGGCAGCACCCTGTCTACCGCTTCCGAAGGATCGCAACTACTTTTATCCTCGTTCGACCAACTTTTCGGCTCCACCGACTCTTCTCGAGCCGTCGCCAGCATCATCACACTCATCCGCCGCGAGTTCCAGAGCCCTCTTACGGGCTTTCGAGGAGAGCGGGTCGGTGTCGTCGACCTAACGCTCGCCCTAAGCACATTGGCATATCTCCAGCAGGCATGCCGAAAGACGGCAGAAGAGGAACGCCGCCGCCAATCGTTCGAGGAGGTTATATGGGATGTTGTGGTCCTAAGCGACGGCGAACGGGTCGATGTCGATGAGCAAATTCTCAGCAACATACAAGGCGGCTATGGAGACAGTGGTCGGAAGGAGAAATCGCCATCGCCTACGAGGAGTCCGTGGACTGGCACGGAAGACGATGAAGCCGTCATGAACCGTCTAAAGAGCCAAATCGTGGCCAACCTTTCCCCCGGCACCACGGTTTCCGTCTCCAACTCGGTGGCTTCCGTGCAAACAATCACAGTCGACGTCCACGGGCCGCAGCTTCTTTCGCTACCGACCCCCCTGGCGCAGAGATTGTCGAAACCAGGGCCTTGACTCCCACGCCTAAGCGAAGGTCGTGGATGCCATTCACTTCCGACGAAGAGAATGCCGATTCTACCTATCGAGTAGTCTACAAGATCCACCGAAACAAGTTCCGGACCTCGTCGTTCAAGAGCGAGGATGAAAGCTCAGACCCGGCCGTCGTCGAGCTGACGGACGATAGCTACTTTTCCAGAGACAAAGAAGCTGAAGCGGCCCAAGACACCGACGACAGCGGTCCCTCATCTAGTCCAACATCGCCAATCTCCCCACCTTCATCCACCAGCTTCTCTAGACCAGCTTCCGCCCTCGACAGCAAGCGTCGTAGCAAGACCTCATCTCCCCAAGACTTTTCAAGGCCTACAATGTCAAGCTCGAGAAGGACTACAATGGATGCCAAGGCGACCTCTCAGAAATCTGCATCAACACCACGATTAACATTGGCGGATCTCGACAAAACCGAAGCTACGGCTAATCAGAAACGGCCACGCGCACCCTTGCACACGCCAAAATCGTCACAAGACATTCCAAGTTCGAGCAGAAAATCGCACTCGAAGAGGAAGATGGAGAGCCCCGTATCGGGAAGGTCCTCGGAGAAGAAGACTGGGCTGAAGCAGGTCCTACGCGAAAGCAGCCAGTCCATCACCAACATGTGGAACAAGGAGCAGGGTGCCGTTGAAGGCAGCGGTTTCTCTGGAAAGGTCAAAGAACAGACTAGAGCTCTGGAAGAAAGAGCCTCAAAATCCAGCAAGTCAAAGTCATCTGGGTCGAGGAGTCACCACCATACTTCGTCTCACGGTCGACGCTCCACTCAGACACCAGACCCGATACCAAGGAGCTCATCCCGCGCGAGTTATGTATCCATCCATGACCATCGGCACGATTCCATCATGACAGATTCATACTCGATCAATGCATCGGGTAACCTACGACCAGCATCGCCCAGCGTTATGCGAGCCGAGTTTTCATCCCACGACTCCATTGCACGGTCTCGCCTTGACGCATCGCACGATGGCCTGGCGCCTCCAATGGGTCACCGTCGCATAAGGTCTCACGCACCTAGTCTGTACAGTTTAGCTACCAACGAGTCCCAGTCGTCATTAATTCTATCCTCGTATTACAAGAAGAGCGCCTATGGCACTTCTGATGCTCTTTACACCCTCCGACGTGAAGGGTTTGTTGATGGCACGTTCCCCACTGGCCACCTGCTTCCCAACATTACCAGATATATGCGATTCTCCTCAGCCTGCTACGGGTCGCACTTCATGAAGCTTACTGGCATCTCGAATGACATGCCCCAGCTCAAGGCCTGGGACGGGATGCATCACGATGTGCGACACTTTGTCCACCACACCGAGTCAGAGGCGGAGAACATTCTTCTCGCATCATTCGTCGATCCGCAAGGCGGGAGCGACTCCACCGGCTCCACTGGCACCGGTGTGCCGTTGGTCCACTACATTTCTCTGGATCATGAGGCAAAGGCAGTAGTCCTAGCTTGCAGAGGTACCATGGGCTTTGAGGACGTTCTAGCAGACTTGACATGTGACTACGATAGGCTCGCATGGAGGGGCAGAGCTTTCAGAGTCCACAAAGGCATCCACGCATCCGCCCGGAGACTGCTCTACGGCGGCGACGGTCGGGTGCTGGTCACGCTGAAGAGTGCACTGCAGGACTTCCCCGACTACGGGCTTGTGCTGTGTGGGCACTCGTTGGGTGCAGGCGTCACCTCCTTGCTGGGAGTGATGCTTTCGGAACCTAATGCAGAGGGCCCTGGCTTCGTCACGTCGGCGGAGCCATACACGGGCAAATACACATCACATGAGGCTTCCGTAGACGGAAAGCTTTCTAGCATTCGTCTTCCTGCAGGTCGACGCATTCATGTATATGCATACGGTCCACCCGGTGTCATGTCGCCATCCCTCCGCAAGCTTACTCGCGGTCTCATTACCAGTGTTGTCCATGGCAACGACCTTGTCCCACACCTGTCCCTCGGTCTGCTTCACGACTTCCAAGGTCTCAGTCTGGCATTCAAGCGAGATGAGAATCGGACAAAGGCGGAGATTCGTCAGCGTATTTGGAACGCGTTCCAGGATAACGTGACGGAGCGCTGGTACTCCAACCGCAAGGTGGACACAAAGGCACCCGGCAACGGCGAGGAGGAACGGTGGATGCTCCCGGCGCTGGAGGGCATGCGGGCGAGCATGAAGGGCGAGAAACTTTTGCCTCCCGGTGAAGTATTCACCATTGAGACGCAAAGGGTGCTCCGACGAGATGCATTCCTGCTCATGGACGAGGAGCACATTGGGCAGCCCGCACAGAGAATCATGCTCAAGTACGTGCGAGATGTGGAGGGCCGGTTCGGGGAGGTGCGATTTGGCACGAGCATGTTGACGGATCACAGTCCGGCAAAATATGAGGATGCGTTGAATAAGTTGAGGGTTGGAGTTACAGAGTGATGGTGTTTTGGGGGGATTATTTTTCACTTCTTGATTGGCATTCTTCATTACCTACTTTTTTGTCCTTTTTTTCCTTTTTTTCCTTTTTTTCCTTTTTCTTTTCTCTTATATGGGCTGTGGACAATGAACGCATAAGGGCTATGCTGTACGATGGATATGATACCATGGTGGAAATAGTGTTGATATAAATAACGGATTAGATGAGGAGTTGACTGGGAACGATGGGGGGGATGGGCAAAGGAAATATGCGTCAGAATCTGATTCCATTTTATTATTTCTCATTCTCTTGTGTAGAAATGTATGATGACAGATGTTGAAGAAACTATACAATTTGATGTAAACATGGACACAACAAAAAAATAAAAATAAAATAAAAAGTTATATGCGAGCCGTAGGGATCGAACCTACGCGGGCATGCCCATTGCGGATCAAGTATTCGAGACACTCCCAGAGGAAGCGCAACAACCTAAACACAACGCCTTAACCACTCGGCCAGACTCGCTTGTTGCTTTTTGATGATGGATGAGCGCTGCAATTGAGGAACACGATCTTCTTGACGGTGTGTGTTGGACCTGATTTGTTTGTGGGGGTACTGCATGATGAATCCTTGCAGGGGAGAGCTTCAAGGTTCTTTACTCAGTGAGTTCTACCCTGTATTTGTTGATTTGGAGGAATCTAGAGCATTTGATTCTCATGCCATGCTATGCTTTGGTCAGATCTTACTATTTCATGCGACGTCTGGTATTTCTTTGAAACTTGCGTGGAAATGATGCGCATCTTCAGGCTTTATTACACAACTAATTCATGGGTTGTCTCATGGCAATAGTAGACATGTGTGCATCAAATCATTACCCTATACACCTGAACCAAAGGATTAAAAATGTGCATCCCCAACGATCCAAATATCTATTCCTTTTCTTCAACTCATGACGATCTGGCCTCAATATTAGATAGCCAAGGAGAGGAGAGGGACGACAATGTTACAAACATCTACCGCCTCAATCAGACAGTACGTGAATCCATTGGACTGAAATACCCTGATGTAAGCGAACCCATTTTCAAAATGACCAATTGTGAATATGGTCAGTGGAGATTGTCAGGCAACCATCCTTCACAATGTCTTAGCACAAGTCCCCTCGAGAGAAAAGCTCGTCAAGCTTCGTACATATCATACAACATCCTCAAAAAGCGTAAGCAAGCTCGATAATGCTATTTAGGGACACCTCTCCATGCCAAGAACTACAGCCCACCGACAGCAGTCGAGTGCATTGGCTGCAGGGACCTTGGCAGAGAAATCCACCCCTAGCCCAAATTCCAATGGACCAAAAAGTCGATGAGCGATATTTTTTTTGGAAAATGCGGGCGAGCGAGCCGCATATCTTGAGTGTAAACGTTGGGCCTCAAGGCGAGCAAGGCGAATAAGGCGACTAATATCCCCCGGAAGTTTCTGATCAGATGGGCACAACGTAATTGGACAGGGCCCAGAGAGCCGCACCGCTTTGCAACTACAACGGCAACGTCCTCGAACATTCAAGATGACTGATAACATTTTCTTACACAGATGGCCTAATGCTCGTGCGGCGACAGCGATGGATTTGATATGTCGTTGTTCCAGGACCAGTCATCTGGACAGCCCCCGTTTTGATTCCGGGGCGAACGATATGCAGACCTGCTTGAGCAAATGGTAGTCAAGTTCCCAGCTGCAACAACTTCTTCACCGCATACACCAGCGCAGCTTCGGTGTGTCATGCGCGCAAAGGAAATCAGGAAGAGGGGAGGTTGGGTTGGGCAGCATAGCCCCCATTCTGCTTGTATGTAAAGGTGATTCGCAGCTTTCGGCCGGAGTTCCAAGAAACTTGGGATATGGATCTGGCCACTCAGCCTCAAGTGGAGTTTGGACGTTCCCTCACGCTGCACGATGTCGTTATCTATCTGAAACTTGGAGGCTCAAAATAGTGGTTGTTTGTATATAAAACCATCTTGACCTCTCTGGACGGAAAACGCTGGATAGGATGTTGCTACTCAGCAAACGACCTTGCATCCTTCCTCTTTTCTCTTTCTCTCTCCCTACTTGCGAGTGATATATACTCACAATGGATATAACCGCACCCACCACACGCTTCGGCTTCGAGATTGCCATTATATGCGCCATACCCACAGAGTACGACGCCGTCTGTCTGACCCTAGACGAGTTCTGGGACGACGTCGGTGATCGGTACGGCCGAGCCGACGGGGACGACAACCACTACACCCCCGGCCGCATTGGAAAGCACAACGTCGTCGTCGCTCTCCTCTCCCACGCCGGGAGCGTCAACGCAGCGTCGGCCGCCGCCAATGTCCGATCGAGCTACCAGGGCCTCTGCCTGGCGCTCCTCGTCGGCGTGTGCGGTGCGGTGCCGCGCGCGGAAAAGGGCCAGGACGAGGAGATTCTGCTGGGGGACGTCATCATCAGCAAGTCTGTCGTGCAGTACGACTTTAGCGGCACGTACCCCGAAGATTTCGTGCAGAGGAACACCATCGAGGACGACCTGGGAAAGGCGGACAAGAACGTCCGCAGCCTGCTCATCACTTTCGAGAGCGAGAGGGGCCTAGAGCAGCTAGAGGAAAAGACGACGTACCTCCTCGAGAGGATACAGGGGCTGGCGAAGAAGAAGAAGCGCAAGGTGAGGTACGAGTACCCCGGCGCGGCGCAGGACCAGCTGTTCAAGCCGAGCTATCGCCACAAGCACCGCGACCTGCTGGTCTGCCCGCCGTGCGACAACGGTCCCGACTCGGTCTGCAAGGCGGCGCTGGAAGCAACCTGCCAGGACCTGGGCTGCGAGACCAACCTCCATCTTGTGCAGCGGGAGCGGCTAGACGAAAAGAAGGACCAGAGCGCCGAAGAGGCCCAGCAGCCGTCGATACATGTCGGGGCCATCGCATCCGGCAGCGCGGCCATGAGATCCGGTGACGTGCGCGACAAGATTGCCGAGCAGGAAACCGTCATCGCCTTTGACACGGAGGGGGCGGGCGCCTGGCGGGACGTACCCTGCATCATCATCAAGGGCGTGGCCGACTACGCCGACAGCCACAGGGTGGACAGGGCCTGGCAGGCGTTTGCGGCGGCGGCGGCGGCGGCCTCGGCGAAGGCTCTTCTTCTGAGGTACATGCAGGCGGATAGGCCCATCGCTACCCTGTTGATTGATACAAGTTCTTCGTCTGTTTCGGAGAACTTTGATGATCAGACTACGATTGTGGGGAGCCCAACTGAAGAGGGGGAGCATCCAGTTTTCGTTTTGCCCGCCATTGTTGAAGACAAAGACAACAAGCCAGCCGGAGCCAAGCCCCCACGTCCATCTGGGAAAAAATCTCACAGGGATCATCACAATTCATCCTCCCCTTTCACAAAGAAGAGTGATAAAACCAGGCCGTCTTCGGCAGCGCTGTTCCAGATATGGCCTCCTCAACCTCCGCAGGCTGCTCCCAAGCACAAATCCAAGTCTCGTGACAAGACAGGGTCAGCATCAGCGGTCAAGCGTGTGCCTACTTCTCGTGCGCCTCCGCGGCGCCAGAGGGCCAACCTGCAGCAGTACGTGATGATGGGATTGGATACCCTGAACGTGGCCTGGTGGGGGGTTCAGGTCATGGCCTTTGCGACCGTCACGGTGGTTTCGACTTTTATTCTTGGCATATTTGGTGTGGCTAGAGCCAGAGCTCGATGAGTTATACATGGTTTCTGATGTGTATTTCGTTCAATCTGATCATCATACTATAGATATAGATACACGGTGATGGTAGCCGTGTTGAAAGAAAAGAAAGAAAGGAAAGAATAAACAAATAGAAGAAGAAGAAAAAACAACCCGTTTTGATATTTCGTAAGTGATTCATGAGAGAAACAAATGCTTTTCAAACTTTTGGAACTTTTTTTTGAAAAATCATGACCCAAAACACCACATGTGAAGAATGTCGCCGAAGGAGAAAAAGAGAGAGAAAGAGAGAGAAAAAAGAAAGAAAGAGAAGGAGAAAGAAAAAAAGGGAAAAGAAGAAGAAAAGAAAAGAAAAGAAAAAGAAGAAGATGAAATAAATGTTCCATCATTTGCTCAAAACTCATTCCAGCATCTCAAATCTAGTCGATACTGCCTCCCAAGTGTCCGATTGACAACGTACTGCCAGGCATCTAAGACGTCCTGGTCAGGTACCCATCCGTGATTGTACATTAGCTTAAGCCGTCCGAGCTTTGCGTTGTATATGACGTCCATCATGATGGGCTCCTGTAGCTGGACAGTGATTTGCTCCATGGCGGGCATTTGCAGGGCTATCTGGGCGGCCCGGAGAAGAATGTTCTTGAAAAACACGGGGTCTGGTACGGAGCGGCATCGTCCAATGTACTCACCCAGACAGTCGCTCTCCACGCTCCCGTCATCATCCATCATGGCATCCTCATCCGCGTTTTCGACTCCGGGGACAATCAGCCACCTGGCTGACGGGGTGATGCACTGTGGCCCGAACAAGAAGTGCTTGAGGGTGGACAGCTCGACGTTCTCTGGCGGGAAAAAGTCCTCATCCTCGATGCTGCCGATGACGTCGAAGAACATGATGCCTCGGCGCTGGGCAAAGCTTGATAGGGCGAGGCTCAGCTTATCACCCGCTCCGTACCAGGAGATGAATGGCTCATGGGGGCCGTAATCATAAGCCTCCGGATCTGTATAGTGGAAGAAGAAATCCGTGATGCTGGATGGCAGGAATCCAATGCCATCGGCGATTGCTGGCTCTTTTTGTTAGCACAATGAACTCTCGAATGAAACGACTGCAAAGAAAGAAGAAGAGAAGAAGAAAAAGGGAAGACGAACCGTTTCTGAGTGCAATCTTTTGGGCTGTGCTTGTCGTGTAGTCGACAAGTTTCCACCACAGTGTTCTCAAATGCGGGAATCTAAGTGCAATCCTGATCAAGGCGATTGGGTTGATCAAAATCGGCATGGAAGGGTCGTCAACGCGAAAGTAAGTGACATGTGGGAGCTCCGGAAGCCACTGGTTATCGCCATCTTCAAAGTGGAAATCCAAGTAATAGCCGGCCTCGGGGAGTTCACTCTCACGGGCGTAGCGGCGGTGATAGATGCCCGGCTCGTAGTTGGGGATTTTGGCGTTGAGGTAGAGAACCATGGGCGGCGCCATGAACCAGGGCCTGTTGCTGAGGAAGCAAAAGGAGGCCCTGACGAAACTGGTAAACAGCCTGTTGTACTCAACGCGCTGATACTCGTCGTAGCGGTATCTCGACTGCCTCGGGTCATGCTCCGGGAGCCGGAACTCGAGGTTCACCTCGCGCATATACAGGAGACGGTTTGGGGTGAAGACATAGGGGGCCTCCGCTAGCCTCTGGGGGGTGAGCTTGACGTAGCGGAACGTGTGTGCCTCAACATAAGGTTGCAGCTGGCGCGACACGGCGGCGTACGAGGCCAGGTGAGACCATTCATCTACTTTTTGTTTCTTTTCGTGCTGCCAGTCCACCTTGCTGAGGTTGGAGAT